GATCAACTAGAAGACCGTCTCTGCACCCATAAGAACCCGAAGAAAAAGGTCAAACTATCTTGAAAACAAGATCACTGGCCATTTTTTATGTCCTGATTTTTATGCCCATTTTTTGGGGAACCAATAATAATTTTCAGTGTCTCAAAAATATTCTGAATAGCCCAGAACAGAAACAAAACTCTAACATTTTAATCATTGATTATCCTTTGCCTCAACGGCATAGTTTTTTGTGATTTTTTTCCTCCTGAGTCTAATACTTGGTCTTGTTTTAGCTTACTAGTCACCCAGAGAGTGGAAATGTCCCAGCACCAACTTATTGCTTGCCCAAAATAAAAATAACAACAAAACCCACAGACTACCAGGCTGGCAAGGGTGGAGGGCTAAACAGGAAAATGGCAGGGAGGACCAGGTGAGTAGGTCGACAGCATCACCTGCCCTGATTCCTTTGGGTGCTAACCCTGAGAGGTGACCCTCCTCCAAGGGAAGCCCTTCTCTCCTGGAGCAGCTCTTCTCAGGGTCCCAAAGCCCCCTGCAGCGGCTCCTCTCCAGTCCCCAGAGGCCGTTCTCTGGAGTAGAGTCTGGAAACTTAGTGAGGGGCGGGGATCTACCCTGGAGGAGGGTGCTAGCTAGCTCTGGGACAGGCTTCTGGCAGACATATGTTCTTACCAAGCTCTCCAGATGACAATAAAGCTTGAGAACCAGCACAGTTGACATCAATCACAAATGGGCCTTCAAGGTGAAAGCTGGGAGGGGATAACCCTGCCTCAGGCGAAAAACCTGAGAAAGCATCCTGTTTCCTGAAGAGCAGGAGGGCAGGCTGGCCACAGCAAGGACCTAGCAGCTGGGGAAACAGGTGGCTCTCAGGCCACCTCCTCCTTTCCGCAGTCCCAGGCTGAGGACGGGCACCTCTGTGTTAGCAGGTAGGGATGGCATGATGAGACACTTCATACGTCCCATTTGAAGTGGCAAAGTGGCAGGTAAGTGTTCATCTCTTTAAAAGTGAAACATCCCCAGGCTCAGATACAGGGGACAACTAGGGGAATGGGGCCTTGCAGGACAAAGGTCAATCTGACAAGCCCTGCCAGGAGACCACAGTGGCATGGGACGACACTCCTGTCCTGGGTAGCTCAGATGTGCAGGTGTTCTCTCAGGATGAGCCTGAGAGCTTCCTCCTTCGCAGGTGGGGCTTCAGCCAGAGCGTTTCTTGCTCATTCTCCCCCAGTAAGGGGCAAAGCAATCAGGAAGACCAGCCTGACAGATGTGGCCTAGAGTTGGCTGTCCCACATAGCCAGGACAAGCAGGGACAAAGTGCTAAAGACTGTCCTCAAAAGCTCCTATCGATCCATGTGGCAGCAAACTACTCCAGGGCTCAGACGAAGCCTAGGGGGAGAAACGGGGCATTGTGTCCAATTTGGAAATGAAACATCATTTCAGGCAGAAAAGATGGGCTGCCTTTCACCTTGACTATGCCCTTGACCCACAGGGAGGACCTCAAGGCATCGATGACCATGTGAAGGAAGAGACTGTCCTGCCCAGATTAAAGCTAAACAGGGATGTGCTATCTCACTCAAAGGGAGAGCAATGGTGCAGAGGCTGGAGGGACTGTGCCCATCCTGAAGGGACAAGTGGCCCAGCCCGGCCAGCAAACCAGCCTTCACTCCCCACCAGGGGCGCTGGGAAAAGGCCCATTCGGCCAGAGGCTGGTGAGGGGACACCAGAGGTCCTGGAAGAGGATTCAGACCTCCCCACGGTTCTCACGGCAACTTTGTACTGCCACCCCCGGGCTTCCTGAGAGCCGAGTGTGTGTGTGTGTATTAGGGGATGTGGGGGGGGGGGAGATAAGGAAGTGAGCAGGAAAAGTCTTAAGAACCCCAAATCCAGCTGCCTTGATTCATGAAGTTTTGCTCCAAGGATGCACTGCCTGTTAAATATAGTTCCAAAAGTCTTTTATAAGTTGCATACTCAATTTTTAGCCAAGTTTAGTGAAGCTGGTTTCTGTCCACTAATAGCAACACAGGTTAACTAAATAATAAAACCCCAAGCGGCCCCTGACTTGGCTACAGTTCACCCTAAATTCAGGCCAAGACCTGGGAAGAAATAGCCCTCGATGTGCTGAATTTGCAAGCCTAAATATAAAGTGACAACGGCAGCCTCCTGTTTGTTGCAAGGAGAGCTAGCCCCAGCACCAGTCACCCCTCGGGCGGGCTGGTGACCCAGGACCACACAGAGCCGGCTTTCAAATAAGAGCGGGGCGGGCACTCTCC